ACAAGGAGCAAAAATATCTCTCAACCCCCACTAAAAAAATTGTAATAAAAATATCTACAACCCATTCCCTAACGCAGAGTCTCAGTTTGGACAACCAACTTGATCAGTGAATATATGTAACGTAACCAGCTGGATCACCTGGACCAGCTGGATTGGACCAACTCAGTCACAGTTGATATATTTAATTATATTTTAAGATACTGAGATAAATTATTTATAATAAAGTGAAGCATTTAGATCAGGGGTCCCCAAACTTTTCCCTGCAGGGCCACATAACATTTCCCTTCTCTGGTGGGGGGCTGGAGTCAGTTTGTAACAGAAAAAGTGTGACTATTGCAGGAGTGCCTAAATGTAAAAAATTATTGTTTTCCAGAAAGCACAATCAAATAACCTCTCTGGGTTCTTCACAGTATGTATTCTGCTGAGCTAACAGTCCTCTNTTGATGTAGATTATTCTCAACTAGTAGAAATACACAAACATATGACTACCCACGCTTGTTTTTCCATCGCAGTGTTTTCCAGCAACAGTTGTGGTAAATATTTTATAATCTCTGCAAGTCTTCATCTTGTCCTTATGAACACGTCATTAAAAGAAAATTGATGAACGTGATAATGTTTGCAGCAGTGCTACTAGTAAATGTTAGGTGTTGTACCATAATCATTTTATACTGCCACAAGATCGATTCACATTTTTCAGAAACTGGATCAAACCAGATTATTGAGTAAAAGGTACAAATAATTAGGTCCAAAGCTCTGCCCAACCGGTAGCCAAATGATTAGTGATTATTTTTATTGACTGACGGCGACATTTAGTGTTTGACATTTTCCMACACAATCAAAAAAACTACACTTCCTAAAAATAAAGATGAAGCACATAATTAAATTTGTGAGGTTGAAACAAAACAAAAATATGTCACCAAGCTTTTGAAATCAACTGTTCATTTTTAAATAAAGTGTTTTTTTGTAATAAAGATTAAACTCAAACGCAACATTACGTTTAAATGTTTTCTATTGTCTTCAGCAGCTGTTTACTGTTGCAGATGCAGTTACCCCATCATACACTCGATGGAGCCAATGAGCAGAGCTGGGACTCAACAACCACTGAACAACAGACCCACACTGCATCACWATMACCCGTCTGCAGYCTGCARTAGAGCTGGGCGATATGATCAAAATTTTATATCACGGTATTTTCAACATTTTCACTGGTTTCACGGTATTTGACGGTATTTTTCTTTTCATCACAGCTCAGCTGATAAAAAATGTACAAACCCTGCTTATTGAGGTTTTTTCTTTTACTGTACCTCTCTCTGTGTCACTGTTTCCCTCCTCTGTGTCTGTTCTTCTCTGACTGGTGGTTGGAGACAGTAGTCATGCATTTTGGTCCAGTCGTGAAGGAGGAGGGTTAAGAAAAGATTATGATCGGGTTTATTGTTTTATGTTATTTATTAAAGCTTATCAGCATGACTCACCTTGCACACCAGTCAACTCAACTCCACTACAAACTACTTCCTGCAGGCTTTTCACAATAGAACCACGTTAAGTCTCCATCAGCATAACGTCTCCATATTAACTACCAGTGTTAAATCTAACTGTGCACATCACTGAAGAGGTGTTTACTACATTCAGTGACGGTGAAAACAGGATGTTTTTTTAAACGTCAGTCAACATAAGCAGCGGAATCACCACTCGCAGCTGCAACTAGCTGCTCCAAACATTAGCATGCTAATGAACATAGCGGTGCAGCAAGGAAAAATGTCCCCCAGGAAACAACAGTTCACTGGCGGCCGTGACGAAACGTTCCGCTATTTAAACCGGAATGTCCAGTATTCAAATAATTCAAATCATAACAAAAATAAAAACCGGTATTCGGTACAAAACGGTATACCGCCCAGCACTAGCCTGCAGCCAATCACAACATACACATGTCCCCGGTGGGGTCTTAATTAACTTAGATTTAATCTCACTGACTCACCCACTATATATATACTATATATAATGCACACACACACGCACGCACGCACGCACACACACAGGTGACAGCACTTTGTTCTTTCTCTTGTTCACTTTAAATAAGGGTTAAAAACGCACTCATCAATATGAGAGAAAAAAGACTTGATGTTGGTTTGAAAAACAGGCCGATGAAGGACAGAGAGAAATATTTTTGGACATTTCACCGACTCCCAGACTGTCTGGTCAACAAAAACACTGTTGTTGTTTTCAGTCACTGATGAGGCAGAAAAATGTGAATCCAGCAAAAACCGAACCATGTTATATGAAGTTAATCTTATATCACTGAACACTATCACTGACTTTAGTTAATGAGCATTCCTACTGGCATATCCATGTCTTTTAATAAACACCAAAACACACAAAAGCTGCAAACTAATTAAAAACAACAGGTCACAGCAACAAAATCTGTTTTTTTTTTTTTTTTTTTGGGGGGGGGGCGCAAATGAAAAAGAGTGCTGTCAGCTGAAGCTTTCTGCTGCTAGAAAATTATTTAAAATTTTCAATTCTTACATATGACAACTAGGATTGAGCATAATCATATCGTGTGCAATTAATCATCAGAAAAACATTAATCGATTATTTTTTGGCACTTGATGATTAATACGATTAATGCCACCAGGCAGAGTCYGCTCGGTGCTCCTCTCCGCTTCAAATATGACAATTATTTAAAAAAAGGTTCTGTAATTTATCTATCAACACAATTTAAAAATAGATGTATGCCCTGGAGTCTGTAATTTTGACACAATTCGAAACAGATTTTTCTCAAGAGCAAATCTTTCCCACTAAATTGGTCATGTGACCAGGACATAAGGGACTCCAGGGGATTAATCATCAAATTAATCGTTATCGACTAAATACCACAATTAATCGTGATTAATTTTTTTGCCGATATTGCCCAACCCTAAAACAAACTAATATTAAATTTGGAGGTTTAAAATAAAAAAAATGATCTGACAGGTAGACAGTCATTTCCTTGTAGCTTTGAAAAGTGATGTGAAGAAAACAACAAAGCCTTATTAGTAATATTGACCTATATTGTGTAAAAAGTTATTGTAAGGAACTAAAATGGAATTTGGTTATCTCGGTAAATTTAAAAATAATGAAGTTGTACCTTTAGTTTAAATAGAGATTGATATTATGTAGCAAAGGTATTTGTTAGAGATGGTAAACAAAAATACAGATTAAACTAAATTAAGAGGAAAATTGTCTTACCTGTTGATGGAGGTCACACGAAACATACCGAGGAAAAAAGAAACAAAAAAACACATTTAGTTTTTTCAGTCTTAACTGAATTAAACATTCAAACATCAACTTTCACGTCACATCAATGTTTGTATTTCTACAGTATTTAAACAAAGCACAGAGTTGATTTATTATTTCAATAATATAGTTTCCAGAAGTTAAAAGATTCATCACTAATCAGARATTATGTCACTGTTCCACCTTGAAACTGAAAAGTGAGTATTATTAAGGAAAAAAGTTTTAATAATGTAAGGGAAAATAGAACAGTCATGTATCAAATATTAAATTGTGGTTAAGTGTTATGTGTGTGGAGGACAGTGAATTATAATAGAGAGAAAATTTATTTTAGAAGGCTATTGGCTGTAGTGACAGAGGATTAAAGGTTTAAACTGTAACGTTACATAACAAAAGAAGCAATAAGGTTTTCCTCTCTGTTTTCTCTGTCAGATCTGAACGTTATGCTGCAGAATACCAGCTGGGAGGTGCAATCGTTTTCACGGTCAGCTTTCCAGATTTGTGCCAATACGTTTAAAAGAGCTTGACACTTTAAGGTGTTTTGTCAATAATTTTGATAAAATGCTAAACAAGCAGATTCAAAAACACCTCAAAACCGTGTTTAGATACAACGGCTGGCCTTGGGAATAATATATGAATTAAATTTGCTTTAACAGATTTCAACTGAAGTGTTGCGCTCCAGTGTGTGGCTCTTTTTTTTCAGATATGTTGATCCATTCTAAATGTGGAAATACTCTTACACACAAGAGGCCATCCTCTGGCAGAAACTGTATGTGTGTCACGACAAACACTATGAGGATCACCGATGAACTTAAAAAAAAATCACATTCTACTTGGACATAAAGTTAGTAGTGAGTGTGCTACAGTGTCATCAAACTAGAATTATCTACATTTTTTTCTATATTTAAAAACACAGACAACCTGCATAAAAAGTTTTGCTAATTTTGCAACCTGCACTGCATTAAGTTATTGAAAAGACAGTTTGGATACATTTTAGTTTGCATTTACAGGACAAATCAACTTTAACCTGTTTCCACACACATTGTCCTTTGCAGAGATGATCAATAACTAGAGGTTTGAAAAGCTAAAAAGGCAACAGCAAACTGGCTTTGTCATGCAAGAACCTGGATTATGTGAATGCTTCTATAGACAAAAGGAGAGATTGAGAGATAAAACAGGCAGCTGATATTTAGATGAAACAGCAGAGCAAGCAGAGGAGCTATTTAAAACAGCAGGTCATATAAAACAGCTGTTATGATCATGGTTACTGATACACAGAAGCAAGCAGAGGGAAATCAAAAAGGACAACTTAAGACTTTAACCCTGTGGGTTTAGTCAGAAAGGGCCCGACCAGCAAAAAAACATTTGTGTCCCACTTTCATCAAGCCAGATTATAGATTAGGACTCAAATGTTTTTCCTCATAAATGACTTCCTGATTTCATCTTTTAAAATGTCAGCAAAGAGTTTTGAATAACTTTAATACACATGAATATCCTACAAATTAAATTACCAAATAYGGTTTGTCGGGCCCTGATTAATTCCTTCACAGGGAAAAGGATCGAACACCATACAGGGCTTGGTGCTCCATCCACAGGCTGAGCCATGCATACWAACAAACAAACAAACAAACAGACAAACAAGAAGTACTACTTCCTGCTGTCCTAATTTCTAATCTGTCCTGTTCTAACCAGCCACACGTTAGTTATATTCTTCCCTGTAGTTCACCAACCTTCCACTGGGGGGAGCTGTGTCGACGAGGACTCCCGGTGCTCTGAGTGTGCAAGGAGAGAGGGAGGGCCTGCTTGGGTGATGGCGGKAGGGGGTGTGGCTGAGCTAAGTGACACGGCAACACCTTTGGAAGGTGTGCCTGATGATGGGAGGGAGATGGTTTCATTCTTGGAAGGAGAGGAGGAGGAGAGGGCYGTGGTCGTGGGCGCTGCAGTGCCTGATGCCGTGCTAAGAGCAGGAGAGGCCGCGGACGACAGGAGCGTGGCCGAGGGGACAAACGGCTTGGCGTTAACGTTAAGGGCTGAGCTGACTGCAGCTTGTGTAGGAGCTGGGGGTGATGGGTGGGTGGAAGGAGTGAAAGCAGGAGGGCGGTCTGGAGTGATGTCTGCAGGGTTGAAAGAAGAAGAGGTTTGTGAAGAAAGGATGCCACTTTCTATCGGGGTGGACTTAGTGAGGGAAGAGGTTGCAATGGATGGGGTGTTGGTGATAGGGGTGGTGGTCTGTGAGTCGGGGGTGGAACCTGGAGGAGTCTGGAGGACTGAATCAAGGAAAGAGAAGGTCTGGGAGACTGGGCTCAGATTGTCCCCTGTCAGTAGAGCGAGACTAGCGCTACCATCTCCAGTTACACTCGTCTTACTGTGAGCACTGTGAGGTTCAAGCTTACTGCCTGAAACTTTCTCTTTGTCTGACTTGGGCCCATCTTTACCAGACAGAGGGTAACCATCTACACACATGGGCTCGTAGGCACGTGGAGAAGAATCGTTTCCAAAGCTAACATGGGAAGAGTTAGTGAAACTTGTGGGGATTTGGTCAGGGGCAGTTTCAGGAGCTGCAGCCCACTTAGGAGCAACTGCAGCTGGTGTTGGGGAGATGGGCTGCTGGGGAGCGCCCCACTCCTCTGGAAGTCTTGCCCGACTCTTAGTCTTTCTGCCTTTTACCCTACCCCCTCCTCCACTCTCTCTTATYTCCCACTCCCAGTTCTCCTCCTCGTCTTCGTCGGCCTCCACCTCCCTGCCGTCTTTCTCCCGCAGCCCGCGCTTGTCTGAGGGCCCCGTGTTATCCAAAAAGTCGTAGACCTCGTCATGGTCCTTCCTCTTCTTCTTCCGCCGCCGCTGCTTGCCGGCCTCTCCCCCTGTCCCCACTCTCTCTGGGCTGAGGGGTTCAGAGTTGGAGGACGTGGGACTGCTGTCGTCCATTGAGCCACTGGGGGAGAGGATGGGAGCTGCCGAGGGGGGGGGGGGGGGGGGGGGGTTTATCAGAGGAGGAACCAATCACATACTTTGTCAGAAAATGTGAGCTAAAAAGCAATCAGATTGTGGTTACTATAAGTGAGTTTTGGATTTAACAACACTTGTATCTTGGTACAAACTGATAGTAATGATTGTTCTCATCAAATTATTGTAGTTTGGGTAATCTGACTGTAAGTTGACAGTTTTAAGTAAATCAATTCATTTTCACTGCATCTTGAGCAACTGTTGACTAGACTACATACAGTCTACTTCAGCAAAACTTCATTCTTCATCACTTCGAAACCCAGTGAATGAAGAAATGGTGATACAACAGCTATAAAATATTAAAGATTTGTTTGAGATGTTTTTATGGTCTTAATTGAGAGCTCTGAGTAGTTGCTTGACTCCCGTAAAGAAGACAGACATTATTATCAAGAAGCTCTGTATACAGTTAAACTTCCAAAAACCTGAACACTACATGACATATGGTCAATAAAAGATATTGCAAGTAGAGAAAAGCATCAATATTGAAATACCGGAAAAATAAGTAATACCGATACGATTAGTAGTATCAATTAAATTTTAACCATATCTATCCCTAGTCCACATAGTGTTTTTTTCTGCAAAACAAACTTCTTCTGCTGTCACTCCAAGGTCATTTTTTGGTACGTTTTTGTTAATTTGGCAAACTGAGATTCTGAGAAACATTAATGCATCTGTACACATTGCACCTACCCACAATTGCTTTAAAACCACACAAATAAGACTTTCTAATTTTTTTTCATCTTGCATAATTTGACTTTTTCGCTGTTAAACTTTGACAACAAGAAGATAAAACTAATTGATTTGACAGGTAATGATAAACAATGTAACAAAATAAAATACTGACCAATATAATTATTTTAGGAGAATTTTAGCCATGCTAGGAATGTTCTTTCATTGTATTTTGATGTCATTTATGTCAGCTTTATTGCCACCCAGTGGTGTGGCATGGGTATTTTAGCAGTTTTGATGGCATTTTTATAAGCAGAAAAAAATATTGGTTAAATATTTATTACAAAAACTGACCAGTGTTGGCATAATGAGTCATAAAGAGGAAGTTATTGTTATTTACATTAAATTACATGCAAAATTATATGCAGTTTGAAGAAAATTTGGCAATTTATCATCTGGCAACAAGCTTGTTTTGTTCATGAGTGTGTTCTTTTGAAAAGTTGATTTTTATTGGTCTGAAGTGATATAACTGGGAAGTTCTGCTCTATAATCAACAAGGAGAATGCCTCAGCTTCACAATGATGCCAAACATTATACAAAGGGGTATCCTAGTGCTACAGCATAAATGGTCAACATCAAAAGAAATGATAAGACTTACAGGACAAAGGTAAATTTCTGAAGACATACTTGTAAGAAAACTTTGATTCAAAGTTTGATTAGGAAGATTATTGACTATTTTAGTTACTGCGATCAATCAACTGTAGCAATATTATCGCTTATCTTGCACTACAGCCTGTGCTCATTCAGACCCCTTTTTGCCAACATGGGTCACAAAGGTTTCATTTGTATTTGTGAGAAGAGTGACACAACGGCAATCTTAGTTTAGCTAAAGATATGAATCTGGGAGAAATATTTAAAAAAAACTCATCTTGCCTTGTGTCTAAGCAGATTGTTATGGTTCACATTTTCTGATGGAAAAGCAGGTGCTGCAGCAGACGCTAGGATAAAACGCATTCAAGCTGCTTTTTCCAATACAGATAATACACTTATTACACATACTGCACATTCAGTCTAATACATATTTTACCACACAAATCAACAACAGCCTTTCCATACAAGCACAGCAACAGTAACCATAGTCTGACTGCTTTTTAGCACTTTTTCAACATTTAGAACATTTACCATGTCATGTATGTGAAGGTGCCTGATTTTGCAAAGACAAAAGAATTGCTTATTTATTCTCATTTGCTATTTTTTAATTGCTCTACATTGGCATTTGCTGATGTTTTACATGTTATCAGGTAATGTGAGTTAGCACTATGTGATTGTGTCCCAGTAGCAACACGCTGTTTCTGCTGTTGATTAAGTTGCTCATTAAAAGCCACGCAGAAGCAAACGAGGTGTGCTTCAGGTCAGGTAAACATTGTGGAAGTTTGATGTGTTTCTCATTCTTTCCTTTTCATCATTGTCATAGAGAACAAAGCTGCTCTTCTGAAGTGAGCCGGCACACACACACACACACACACACACACACACACGCACACACACACACAAAAAAAAGACAAACTAAACAATACGAGCAAAACAAGCACGCTGGGAGCAGCAGAGCTTCGAAGCAACTTAACAAGACGAATAAGTCAAGCACATATCATACAGGACGTAACATGCATAATCTAGTCAAATGTGTACACATCTGAAGAGTCGCGACAACAAATGTAAAGCGACGTCTTAAACAAAACGAGTGTAAAACTGAATCACAAAACAAGGGCACACAGAGGCACTAACAAACCCAAATATTCAGTTWGCGCTGACGTGAACTTCCTATTTGTCTGTTCTTGTTCTGCTACCACATTATYACAGCTGGATATGGCTTGCTCCCTCTGAAACCATATTTCTCAACAATAACTGACAAGCATCTTGTAAAGTTCCAAATAAACAGAGCGAGGGAGAAGAATGCACAGATAGAAGTGTATGACCTGAACTCCTCTCTCTCTCTCTTTCTCTCTCTCAGTCTGCTTATTTATTCTTCTTCCTGTGTTACATGTTGTTCCATCTCAGTTTTCAGCATCCTGTCCCTGAACACCCCTGCCTAACAGGGGATGTAGAGAACATTGGGTTTCCTTTCAAATCTGCCACCTCTGCCTGCACTGGAAATAAAATWAATTACTTGGTTTGGGTCTGTGATGTGAAATTTCATTTGGTATAAACTTGAAAATGACAAAGCATTTAGAAGTGCTTCAGTCAGAAAGTCTGCTGAAATTCATGACATGCACGCAGATCTGTGATGCATGTGATGGCATTTGTGTTGTCAAATAAAAAAAAACAACAACTATTTTCCAATATATACAGTATTTTCAGGATTGATTTGTTGCCTTCCTAAAGTGAGACAGCTCCCACAACTTTAAACTTATGCTTAGCTTGCCAACAAAAAAAGAGTTTATATTAACTGTATTTTTAATATCTTCATATTGTTTAACCTGACACACATTAATGAAAAGAAGTAAATTAAATTAAAGCTGTTTAGGGAAAACTGTATGCTACTAGCAAATCTGATCAACTCTGCTGTGACAAGTATATTAGTATCCATTATATAAGTATAATGAGGAAAATCATTGTTTTCAGAAGTGTTTTTTGTGTGTTTTTTTCTGCACAGGTTGATTTATACAGCAGGGTGTGAAAGTTTGGGCAGCGTTGTTAATTTTCCTGATTTATCTTTATAAATCATTGATTGTTTGGATAAAAAAATCTGTTAAATATATCATATAGGAGACAAACACAGTGATATTTGAGAAGTGAAATGAAGTTTATATGATTTACAGAAAGTGTGCAATAATTGGTTAAACAAAATTAGGTAGGTGCATAAATTTGGGCACACAAAAAAACACACCAAAAAACAACCTTAACTCAATATTTAGTAGCTCCTCCTTTCACAGAAATAACAGCCTCTAAACACTTCCTACAGCTTCTAATGAGAGTCTGGATTGTGGCTGAAGGGATTTTAGACCTTTTAGGTCTAATTTTGTTTAACTAAACCACAGTAAAAACAGAAGTGATAGAGCTGCAACATCTGCAAAGCATGCTCAGCTAAATATCTAATTATCCCTAGATTAGTGATGAACCTTTCTTTAATGTTTTTTTTTTCAGTATAAGAGGAAAATAATCCAAGAAGCAGTTGCAGGTGAAATATCCAGGATTGGGTCTGACACCCTCACCCCCATGTGCTGCTATAAATCAAGCTAAACTTCTTATCAGTCTTTAATATCAACACTGTTAGACTTTATTTCCTGCAATAAGTGCTTCAGTTTTTTCTTACAATGATTGTTCACCAGAGCATCTGCCACAATATTTCCATTAGATTAGGCCCTGAATCTTTGAAAACGATAGTGTTGTTCCTTTACGATTCATACTTTTCTCAGCAGAAATGCCTCATTGTGTGGCTGCACGAACACCATGCTGTTGACTGTTCTTACAAGCTGAAGATGGAAAATGTGAAAGAACTGACGGCTGTCATCAACACTCAGAGAATTTTGTATTTTTTTTTTACAGAGTCACTGCAGGTTCTCTGTGCGAAGGAGTTTTAAAATAGCAGCTTTTTGGCCATATCACCACAGTCTGTTCTCTGAAAATTTAATGAACAATGGGAAGTTATTTTTAGAGCCAAACAAGCACAGATGCAGGTTTTTGCCATTAGAGCAGCCACTGAGAGACACTATTCTGCAGAAACAAAACTTTTGGACTGATGGATGTTTTATATACYTTTTCTCTTTGACTCTGGTTTTCAGGTTTTTATGCAATCTATGTCACTAATCTGCATCACGCATAACTGAAGCAGAAGGCCTTAAAATATAAAAGCTATCTTTATAAATTAATAAAGTAAAAGCAACCAAGCTATAAATAGATCCTGCAGCCTAATATGTAGAATTAGATATTTTAGTTCACGTTGGCAGGATTTTTGTTGAGCATCAGGAAGCACCTGAATGTCAAACAGCAGCACTAGATTGGTAGGTACTTGGTAGAGCTACCACATGTAGGATGCACAAGTCATGATAGGCCGCTTCCCCCCCCTTGGGTAAATGTTTTTGTTGCTTGGCAACCACATAATTAGCTGATGTTCAGCTTGTACACCCTTGTGCGGCAATTGATTATAATAAACATTAACAATTAATGATAAAAAGGCACCTAGCAGCGTYTAACTCTGCTACAGGGAGCTGTTTTCTCCTCAGACTGCAGCACACACTGAAGACATGGACGCTGCAGACGTTAGTGGATAAAGAGAGAGCGTGAAGCTATGAGGAGTCCGGCGATGCTGAAGTTGCACAGGGGACGGTGGAAACAGCTAGAAAAGGCTGCCCTCTGCTGCTGAAACTGTGTCCTGTGTCATCAGGCTGCTTCCATTCTCCACGCTGCAGAAACTCAGACCTGCTTTTATTGTTTTACACTTCCCCCTCCACACAATGAGACCTGAAGCCGAGCCTCTCTCTGGTACCTGCAGGGTGGTCCGCCGAGTGGATTCCCGGGCCACCGGTTGAAAACGGATCAGTGGTGTTAAAAGTACCGCTCCCGCTGATGTTACTGGGGGGCTTGKTCTCCACACCGAACAGGCCAGAACTCTTCTGGGCGTCCACCGCAGGACTCATCCCAGTCTGGCCCAAACTGGAGCTCATAGTGGTCTGGAAGGGTGGCAGGCTGGAGCCCAGGGTCATACCCATCCCAGACTGAGAGAAACCTGATGAAGAGAAGGAACACACAAACAGCCTATGAAAAGTGAGGACCTCTTCATGTTCAGAGGATCAGTGTGATCTAGTCTCATCTAGTAAGAAAACAATTTATTGTCCACGTATTTATTGAACATAATGATTCAACAACTTGTACAACTTGTATGGTTTTAGTCTGTTGGTATGAGATGTTCTTAATATTTGACACGTTGTTTCTTTTTTATTTATTCTTTTTGACAAGTTTAAGTTAATCAATTTTGGCAAAATGGCAAAATGTCATGTGCTGTTTATCACCTGAGCTGGTATTGGTGCTATTTTAAGACCTGGTGAAGACAAAACAATTTTAGTACAAATAACTAAAACCATAAAATGGACCCATAATTAGACAAAATGCCCACATTTTGTGAATTATATTGTTTAGATTTGACATTTTCAAGACATTACTATAGATGATGGCTCAACTGTGGACAGTTCTTGGAACTAATATGCAGCAGAATAATAATTTAGTTTCTTTGTGGAATATAAATAACTTAAAAAATCATTTTAGAACATTAAGCCTATAGAAACTAGAGTTATTTTTCATGACATCAGGCTTATTTAAACTTAGATATAACCATCTTTGTTTCCAAACAGGTAGTAGCAAAGACCCGAGCCCACAACAATTTTTAGGTGATAATATTGCTATCAGGTCAAATAAACAAGATCATAGTAATAATATTCCTCAAGCTACTTTTATCCATTAAGTACACTAACCACACTCCTTTGTAACAAGTAAGGCAAAAAAAATGTTGTTAGAAGTCATTTTTTAACCACTGGTTAATCCCATTTAACCGGTGGGGTTAAATGGGTTAAATCTGAAAATCATTTCAAGACCCCACCTTGACGTTTCAAGACCTAGAGTGGGGTCCCAACCCCAACTTTGGGAACCACTGATCTAATTTGCAACAGAGTAATAANTAATAATAATGCATTAGTCTTATAAAGTGCTTTCGAGAACCTCAAAGACACTCTACAACTAACTTATTTAGCACCTCTTAAAAGTAACCAGCTTTTTTTTTTTGGCGACAAGCAGATCTAAAAGGAACACAACATAAATTATGAACAATTTATGGGTCATAAAATATTGTTTTTTATGTAAAAACAAGCAACAACTAAATCTGAGGTTGACCCCTGGTCTTTTCTCAGTGCCAGCTTCATAAATCACATGAATATACTTTGGCTGCAGCCGCTCTGTGAACAATCAGCAAACGTTAGTTTCAGTTTAACCTCGTGACAGAGCTGTAGAGCAGCTGAAGAAATTTATAGTTATTAGAGGTTAGTACTGATGTTAAAAGCACAACAATATATTTTTAGGTTTTCCTTTTTATAATGTTGACWRTGTTTWATCTATTATGTTTTGATTGAAATAGGTTCMGTTACATGTCTGAATTATATGACAACACATAATCAACCGTTAYGAGAACAGTAGSTGAGAATTTTGTCTGAATGCCTGTGATTCAGCCGTAGGTCAGGAGGGGGCGAACGCAGCCATTGAAGAACGTATAAATTGATTAACTTCCTGGTTTTTCGCCAGTGTGGTTTCCTGTCAGCTCCGGTAACATTAAACCTCACTCAGTTCCAGAATTCTGGTGTTGTATGGTTTGATTCCTTCTACAAATCATTTTATTTAACAATGTTGGGTTTAATATCGACTTCACTTTATTGAATACGTATTTTTCTTACACAGCGTTAACCCATTTTTATTTATTTCTAATGTGTAAGCTCTGTGTTTTTTCCAACAGAAAAAAAAGACATACCAGATTGATTAGATTCAAGCCTGAGGTCTTACACGTCATTGTGTAAACAACATGTTCCACTGATGGACAAGACGCTTCAATAAAAAACACCTGAACAAACACARTAAAACCCTGATAACACAACCTGAAAAATAATTACCTGATCAAACTGGAACAAACCAACTGTTCTCCTATTGAAATACTTAAGCAGTTTTACATTTGTCCATCACAGTTCATTAGAATTTGTTTCTGCCTCTAAATGTCCTGGAACTGAGCATGTGTTATATGCAAAGAATAACATGAAACACAATCAATAAACCAGCATATTTGCCTAAACAATCACTTTACGGTTCTATGATGTTAGAATAAATGTTGCTTCTAGCAGCCCTGAAAGAAGATGTAAATGGTGTGTGTGTGTGGAATAACAGAGATTTCTAGGACAAAGATAAAGCCTCTAACGCAGTGACCCACATACATATGGCAGCTTTGAGTCTGAAGCAGYGCACAGAAGAAGAGCTGAAACCGAGCTAAACAGTAGACTGCTGTAAGGTGTTTTATCTTCTAGGTTGTTTAAATTTCCCTTTATTTTCATTGAAAAACTGTAAAGTTAGCATCGAATAAGATTCAAAATTTGATCCATTTGTTTTGATTTGCAGTAAATTCAGATTGAAATAGAGAAAAGATAAAAAGCAGCAACAACCAGGCTTTACAGGTTAAAGTGTGGAGAAGCGATGACTCAGCGTGATGCTGTGTTTTGTCTTGGTCAAGCTCAACACACCAGTCGACCCAACAATCATAAGGAGAGAAACAGAAACAGATAGACGATACAAAAAAAAAAAAAAGAGAATACTAACAGAAAAACAACAGCCAAAGAAACAGTAGTTTTGTTTGTGGATTTTGCAACTAATCAGTGTTGGGCATCACTAATCTAAAAATGAGTTCCACTAGCCCTAAAGCACTAACTCAAATATTTAGGTCCCCTAATTCTAAAGCACTAACACACTGAAAATTTTTAGCAAAAGCTAATTTTAAAGCACTAAAATAACCCAGGTGGCCCATGGAACATTCTTTAACAGACAATATGAGTCACATATTGTCATGTTACTCTCTTAAGACTTATCATTGACATTCCACAGCTGTATTTGAGTTTATATATTGTCAACATGTCACCTAGTGGAGAAGTGACACACATGTGAACAAAATGTGTGACAGCTTTTACCCTCAGCTGTTAACGATAACGTTGATCTATAACCTTTAWAGATCTCAGTTTGTGCTTCTAAATTTAGCCTATAAATTTAGTAAGTGCTAATCCACTAATAAATTCTAAAATTAGCAAAAGCCCTAAAGCACTAATCAGGAAATTAGTYCCCCTATTAGTGCTTTAGTGCTTTAGGGGAACTTTGCCCACCACTGCAGCTAATTTATATCTGAAACATTTTTTTTCTCTCATACTGTCGGTCCCTCCTTGCAGATTTGATCCACATTTTAAAAACATTTTTCAATAAATAGAAGTTATAAAAGTCATGTTCCTGTCTTAGCTTTAAAAAGTGACATTTATGTTATGGAAAACATCTTGAATCAAACACATCAAAAACTGTTGATCACATGATTATTTGGAGTTTCAAAATCTTTTTTTAATCTTCTGATACAAGATGAGTCTGTGTGTGTGGGGGAGAATTTGTGTGTCCGTTCAAGATGGCTGCCACAGACAGCTGATATTAAAAATACGAACTAAAATGAATAYAATCCAGTCAGTTTGACAGATATTGAACTTAAATACGCTGTGGTGGTAGCTGAGACTGATTCCCAACACACATGCTGAGCTGCACTCTCACCGGACAGGTAGTCGGATCCAAAGGCGGGCTGTCCCGGTGGGTCCTGGCGTCCACCTGACGTCATCATCRTTGACATCATCCCAGGGCCTGAGGGAGAGAAAATGCGAAACGAGCTTCAAACTTTTGTTTTGTTAAACTTCATCCGATGGTCAAGAACGCGCTGTCATCCGGGAGCTGAGCAGCGTTGAACCTGACGCCTCTCCAACCTGCAGCTGAGTTTCTCTGTCACCCTGCTCTGTCAGCTGTTGGCCCATCAGACAGGTGCTGCTTCAAAACCCCCTCTTTGTCTGTGTGTGTGTGTGTGTGTGCGTGTGTGTGCGTGTGTGTGCGTGTGTGTGCGTGTGTCACATGTTTTGACAGTGAGGCGAGCAGACACAGCATGTCGCTGAAGGAAACATCACCATGGTTACACCAAAAGGAGGGAGACAGCATCTGCGGTTCCCATGGCGACACTTGCCGTCGGCSAACGTTTCCTGGAGGTCGGAAGACGCCACCCGCTGAAGCACGCGCACCAGGACACACACTCGCAGGCATTGGAAAGTAAAGTCAAAGTTTATAAATACACACATGTTTCACAGTGCTGTGAAAGMCAGGGGGAGTCGCCTCCCAGCTGATTAATGAGAGGATGGGAGCTGCTGGTGGAGAGAGGACTCGCTGAACTGATTCCATTAACTCCCATTAGGCACAAATTAAATAAAACTCGTTTCCTATTTTCATAACAGTAAAGGCTGTATAATCACAGGACAGAATATTTATTCGGGATCCGAACAGTGGATATGCTTTTAAAATCTTACCAAAGTGAAGAAGGTAGAATAAGTCCCTGAAATGTAATAAAATAACTAGAAAATTTGCATTTTCTGTCAAACTTACACAAAGCTGAGTGCTGAAATTTTCTCAAGAAGATGAAGCTGAATTGTTAAAGCTGAAAGAAGCAGAACACTAGCTAAAAGTAGTAAAGTATTAATAAAAACCTAAAAGAAATAAAACAATAGGTAAAAAGAACTAGCAAAAATAGCTAAAGGTAGCAGAACATTAGCAAAAAACTAGAAGACAATAATACATTATTCACACTTAGAAAACGGATAAATTATTTCTTTGATGTAACAATGATTCTTAATAAATCTTATACCTGGTACCTGATTGGCACCTGGAGGTAACAGAAGCTCAAAACAAGTGTCAATAGCAACAACAAAATAAGCTGTTTGGCAGAGAAGATTTGGCAACTTGTTGTGAACAACATACTGAGCTCTACTGCTCATCCCACAAATGCATGTTCCTTACAAATGTGGCACCATTTAAAGGGGAAATTAACAGCTTTCCAACATTATAAGATTTCATGCCAAAAAGCGTTGTTCCAACAAAGATATAATCTACTAAACACTATTTTCATTACTTTTTGTGCTAAATAAAATAGCAAATTTCAAAAAGAACAATGGGTCTCATGCAAGAACCGTTAGTACACACAGATTTGTTCTTAAGTTGTGCGTACGAGTGATTTAGGAGAATTTGTGGCATTCACCAATGTTTCCGTATTCTAAGATTTTTTTCAGATAAGAACAAAATTTACGAGTGGTCCAGACCTGTCGTAT